CAGCCCTTCCCCCTCCCACTTCCAAATTCCCCTATCTCCCCTTCCTGGGACACCCTCCCTGACTCAGTTTCCTTTGTCCTCATTTGGGGTCTAGGGTCACTAAACAATTTTGGCTTTTTTGCCAGGGTTTCTCCATGTATGTCCTGGCTGTCCTGGAACTTGTAGACCAGGCTGGCCTCCAGAGTCCTGAGGTTAAAGCTGTAAGTCAGCACAACCAGCCAGGGATTTTAAATTTACGTCCTCTGAACACCTCTCCAGATCAGATGACTCCTTTTAAATGGAGAGGACCCGAGAGCAACTGCAGGTGAGGGGATCGAACACACGATGCTTCCTTCCTTTGGAAGCTGGATCCCAGGAGTTGAGGTGTCATCTTTTGGCAGTCAGAAGACTAAGGGCCCGGATCCGTTTTCCCAACTAGCTACGTAACTGAGTCTCAGCAGCTGTGGCCAGTGTCCTTCAGTCTCCACTTCCTTCTAGATCCACCCACCACCACAAGGTCCCTGAGAACGTCCATTCCCTCAGTTCCCGGCTGCAATCTAGTAAAGCTCATCTCCCACACACTCACAGCCCTGTCTTTCCTCACCTTGAAGAGCTGAGGTGCTCCATATCCCAAAGTTAACCAACTCAACCTGGCAATAGCACCCCCTACAGGCTGCCTTTTCTCAGTCTGGAAAATGCCAACCACCTCTACAATGCGCTCTAATGGAAAGGTGAACTGTTTGCCAGATGAGGCCAGTCCCGGTGTCAAACCAGTCTCTGTATGAAATGCTTTGGGAGCTAAAGGCTTAGCTGGCAAGAACCATGAGCCACCACTAGGGGGAAACCACTAAACCCTATGTATTACTAGGACAGCAGCCCAGAACTTCACATCCAGCACATTTCTCCAGTTCACATCTGGCACCCAGTGGCGTTAAGTCCAACTTCCAGATAGAGATGTTGGTACATCAGTAGGAAAGAACAGACCTAATGGAACCTCGATGTCCTGTGGTCAGACTAACTGCAGGCCTATCCAGACCCCCCACCATAACTAAAAAAAATACAAGAACATTTAACCTTTCCTATACCAGTGCCTTAATCCTAATACTACCCTCGACCCTCTCCAGAAACCAGGTGGTAAACAGGTCAGGGATATACAATCACTCAGGAGGTTCAGGGGTCGGGAGATACAGGAGACATTCTCAAAGAACTAGACACACACACACACACACACACACACACACACACACACACACAGAAAAAACGAGGCTGAGACACTCACTGTTAGAACAACTCAGCAAAATAAAATTCCGGTTTATTGTTGGACATTGTTTCACACATACATCAAACAGGCCAAAAAAAAAAAAAATAAACAGCAACTTCATAGACAAAAAAAAGGAAGGAAAAAAAAAGAAACCTTTTATCTTTGGCCTTTTTAACCATCTCATACAAACCAACTACTTATAGTACAGCTAGGTACATACACAAAAAAAGTTACTGGAATGCTCGGAATAAGATTGTTTTTTTGTTGTTGTTTTTGTTTTTTTTACAAGGTTTTTTTTTCTCCTTTGAGATTATAATGAACATGGTCACACCACAAGTAAGGTCTGAAGTAGGACAGAGAACGCTCTGAAGGCTGGTTTGGTCACCCGTTATCATTAAAAATGGCTGACCCTTAACAATATGTACAAAAATATAAAATGTAAATAAAAAATACAAACAAATTTTCCTTTTAAAGTATTTTTAAGAAAAAAAGCAGGGCCTTGGAAGTTTTGGTTCTTTTTTCCTCCCCTGTTGCAAATTCATGTGGTTTTGGTGGGGTGGTGGAGAGCGCCATGTCGTGTGTGGGTGGCATTGCCCGCTGTGGGCGGGCGGGGCCTGCTCCTCTACTCGCAGGTGACCACGTTTAAATTCTGAGACGGGAAGTGGAGGGTGAATAGGTCACGGCGGCCTTAGGTTTACTTTTCCTTTTGCTGTCTAGTCATCCTCGTCGGTCTTCTGCTTCTTGGTGTCAACATCGTCATCCTGCAGAGAGTCCTCAATCAGCCCTGTCACTGCAGGGTCGGCTGCAAGGCAGCCCAGGTCCAGAACTCGGGTCCCTCCCACCTCACAGGAAGCTGCGCTGGGAGGTCCCACTCAATCTCAGTGTCACCCGACTCCAGAGCCAGAACCAGCCTCGGGAAAACTACCTCCCACATCCCAAACCCCAGCCAAGGCCTACCTCATCATCTTCAGCTACCCGCTTGCCCGTAGGGGCCTCAGCTTCCTCATCTTCATCTCCATCCTCTTCCTCACCTGGAGAGGGAATCAAGGGCCACATAAACCACTGACCTCGCACTGCAGCCGTCAGCGGCCCTGACCTGTATTGCAACATGCCCAAGTGGGCAGGCCAGAGAGCACCGTCTTTCCATGAGAGCTGTCCAGCAGCAGAGCGTCAAGTGCCGGCTCCACGGGTAACCCCAACCTCTCCCTTCCTGCAGCCAAGGCCAAGGAAAACAAGACTACTCACCGTCGCCTTCTTCCTCCTCCTCATCTTCCTCCCCACCTTCCTCCTCTTCTTCATCTACCTCATTGTCAGCCTCCTGCTCCCCATTCTCCTCATTCTGCTCGACAGAAAACACACCCGACGTTAGCCAGCTCGAAGGCGGGACTGCACGTCCTGTATACTGTGCCCCTCACCACAGCTAACCACAGCACCCCAAACTTCGGGAGGTGACACCATCCACACCCCGCATAAGCTGGAGCCAGAAGCCCCGCTGGCGGACACTCACAGCATTCCCATTGGCAGGTGCGTCTCTTCCATTCTCTGCCTCCTCCACAACTTCCTTCTTCTCCTTCAAGTCCTTGAGAAGGAAGAGGAACCCCGTTAGACTCGAGAGCAGTCGGCACAGCCACGGGGCTGAGAACTGGGTAGAGCTGGCCAGGACCATGTTGGGGGTCCCTGGCTCCCTGGGGAAGTCAGCAGGCGGGGTCACAGACAGCAGGGCCTGCGGTCCACCGAGGTGTCTCCATCTTCTACACCCCGAGTGGACTCGGGGGGCGACAAGCTTCTCGGCTACCATATGGCACCTGGGCCAAACCCGCCAGGCCGGGCAGACAAGCCGGGGAACTGTCGCCCTCACCTGCACGCCCTTCGCCGCCTGTCTCCAGCTCGAGGGAGCTCCGCCCTCAGGCACCCTCCTCGGAAGGCGGCGGCCGTGCGCCGTGCCATAAATAAATAAGGTAGTGGAGGGAGGAGCCGGCCATGGCGGGGCGCCGCTCGGGATGGACGGGGAGTCGGGACGGGCACCGGGAGGCGCCGGGGCCTGCCGCCGCCGGAGGCCCAGCCCTGGGCGACGTCTCGGGCGACACCGGCCGGGCTAGGGACGCCCGCAGCCGCAGGACAGAACAAGCTGGCGCTCTGGGCGCCGCAGCTTTGGGGCCGCGCCGCGGAGTAACTTTTCCCACCCGCGTGGCTCGGTCGACCGCCCACCCGGGGCACAGGCGCAAGGCGCCGCCGGCCGCCCCGCGGCCTTGGGTCACCTGTGGGCGCCGGCGGGTTCGCGCCCACCGCAAGCCCGCCCGGGACCCCACGGCGCCCGCTCCCGCCCCCTGGCGGCCGAGGCCCGGGGGAGCGAGTGGGGGCGGGGTGGCCGCGGCGCGCAGGCGCACAACTCTCCCCAGCCAACTACGCGCGCGAGCCTCGGCACGCACCGCGCGCCAAGAGCACGTGGCCCGGGGCGCCGAGTGCGCCCGGGGCCGCCGGGACCCGCGGTCCGCGCTCCTCCGGGGGAGCGCACGACGCGACGCCCCCTGCGGCCGCGGCCCGACACGCGGCTTCCGCCTCCCGTTTTCGCGCGCAAAGTCCCGCGGGAGGCCCCCGGGGATCGGGAGCTGCTCGGCTCCGAGCCTCGAGACCGTCGGGGGCGCACTCCCCGAGGGAGCGACACGCCGGGCCTCGAGGGGATTCACCTCAGAGACACTCCCGCCGAGGCCCGCGCGGGGGAGGGTCCCGCTGGCGGTCGGCCTCGGGGGCCTCGGGGGCCGCCGGGCCGCGCTCCGGCCGCGCTCGGCGCGGGGTCGCCCGTGGGCGCGAAGGTGCCGGCGACCGTCTCGAGAGCCGCCAAGGTGACTCGCGCCGGGCTCCCCCGCAGGGCGAGCGAGCGGGGCGCGCACACCGAGAGGCTCGAGCGCAGGGCTCGTGCCGAGGGCGGAGGCGGGCGCTCCACGCGCGAGCGGCCGCCGCGGCTCTCGGATCCCGGCCCGCCGCGTCCGCGCGGACTCCGGGGCCGCCGCGTCCCGGGCGCCGCAGGCCGGCCGCGGGGGGCGCCCCCAGCCGCTCCGCCGTGCGGCCGCGGCTTTCCGCTTCCTCCCCCTCCGGCGCGTGGGCTCGCCGCCCGGCCCAGCCGCCCGCCGAGGGCCGCCGCCGCAGGGCCCACCCTCCACGGCCGGCCCGCGACTACCCGGGGCCCAGAGCCCCCGGCGCCTCCGCCGAGACTCCCACCGCCCCATCCGCGTCACCCCGGGCCGGGCCGGATGACCCGCCGGCGGCCCGCTACGGGCGCGAAGCCGGCCGCGAACAAAGAGCCGCGCGGCCCCCGGTGCCCGCCGCCCGCCGGCGCCGCACTCGCGCCCCCCGCACTTCCGACGCGCCCGAGTTCCAAAGTTATTTCCGCGCGCCGCGGCCCCGCGACCCCCGGCCCGGCCCGCTCCTCCCGGCGGCCGCTCGGACGCGCCGCCAACAAGTTTGGAGGGTTGCAGCCCGGCCCTCCCCGTCCACCCCCGGGCTCCGCGCCCTCCCCGGGCCACCGGCCCGCTCCCGACGGCGGCCCCGATGCCCGCGCCGCGTCGCGCCCCCTCCCCCGCACACAAAGAGTGGGTGTCCGGGGCCATCGCGCCGCCGGAGGCCGGCGAGGTCCGCCCGGGAGGCCGTCACGGCGGCGGGCTCTGCCCGGGGCGCCGGCGCGCGGACCCCGAGGGGGCGGGCGGCGTCCAGCCTCACCTTGGTGGTGATCTCGGAGCTGGTGTCCACGGCCGCGTCTGACATGGTGGGGCACGCCGGTGATGCGCTGCAGCGAGGGGGCGAGGAACCGAGTTCGAGGACTCTGGCGAGGAGGCTGCCGGAGTCCGCCGCGGAGGAGGAGGAGGAGGAGGAGGAGGCGGGCGGGCGGCGAAGGCGGCTGCAGCGAGCGCGGAGCAGGACCCGGGAACAATGCAAAGATGGCTTTTCGGAGCAGCCAGTGGGGGACTCACGCGGCGCCAGAACCTTTAATATAGATTAGTGGGCGGTGCTCGGCCACCCTGGGGCGAGCGCGATTGGCTGAGCGCGGGGAGCGGGCGTCTTCTCATTGGCCCGCTTCCGAACAATGGGCAAGTGAGCTTAAAGCGGCAGTGCCTCAGCCCGGCGCGCGCCGCGCAGTCCCCCGCCGCACTGTCATTCAGAGTCTCGGACGTGTCGGGGCTCGGCGGGGCCGGGCCGGGGCCCGTGCGCGCGCGCCGCCCTCCTCCTCCTCCTCCTCCTCCTGCCGCGCGGCCCCGCGGCTGTTTTGCTCAAGCTCCTGACGCAGACGAGCAAAGCGCGGCAAAGCCGCCCGCCCAGCGCCCGTCCTCCCCCTCCCTCGCGACTGCTCGGAAGGAGGGGGAGGGGAGGGAGGGAGGGCGAGCGCTGGGCGGCGCTTGCCCCGGGCGGTGCCCCGCGCGTTTCCCGCGCCCACGGCCGGCCCGCACCTTCGACCAAGAGTCGTCTCGGTGCAAGTGGGCGCGAGTCCACGGCGGGCACGCGGGCTCTCGCACCCCCCGCCCCGTCCTCCTCTCCCGCCGTCTCGGCGGCGCTGACCCCCGCCGCCCGCCCCCAGTCGCGCCGTCCAGGGCCACGCTGATGCGTGGGCCTCGCGCCAAGCACACACTCGGGGACTCGTGCGCGCAGGGGCTGGGTGGGGGTGCGAGTTCCTGCCCTCGGGCGGGACCGTCCGTGGGCCCCGCGGGCCCCGCGTCCGCTGGAAGTTCACTGCCGTCGCGGCAGCCCGTGGCCGCTTTCCAGGGCCGCGCCCGGCCATCGGGTCTCCAGTGGGCATGCGAACACCGCGCAGCTGAGGGGAGCTCGCCGCTTGGGCCATTAGGGCTAGTCCTTGCGGGGCTCCTTCAAACTTGAGCCACTCAAGGAACCACGCGGGCCCGGGAGAAAGAAAACCCATAAAGATGCCACACTCAAGATGGCGTTGGGCTCGGCAAGCGTGGCGTGACGTGGCGACCCAGCTCGCAGGAACGGCTTCAGAACGCTAGGTTGCTCGCTTCTCATCGCCATCGCGGTCGGCTGTCGAGCTAAGAAACCTGTTCCGTGAGCAGACAGGCTAGAGCGGCTGTGAACGGACTCCGAGGCGCCACCTTCGCCACACTCAAGATGGCGGCAGATCGCGTCCGACCGTGTGCTGCCAGGAGGGGGCGCCCGACACGGAAGGCGGGACTTGGGAAAAACCCGCGCACACTGGCTGAGAGTGGCGGGCGAACACAAAGTTGACGCTTTGCGTCCTGCCATTGGCCGGTCCTGCCGTCTGTCTCCTGGGGCCGTGGACCCGGGCGCGGGGAAAACCCGGAGTTTGGAATCGGGGAGGACGGATGGATGCCAAGTTCCGTAGAGCTTTGAGGTCGAGGCGAGGGACCGAATTGCCCTTATCGGTTCCCTCGGGTGCTTCGGCCCGCCCCACCGGGAGGCCCCTTTCCTGAGCTCGAGGAGAGCGGAGGAACGCGCAGGGTCGAGGAACTGCTGCAGCTCGACCCGGCATCTACCCGCGAGCCGCACGTGGCCGGCCCGGATCCCGCGCACGTGCCAGTCGCGCTAGCCTTGTGCGCCTCGGCGAGCCACTTTGCCTTTAAGGAGAAGGCCTTGCCGCCGCCCTTTGGCCTGCTCGCACTCCCGTTGTCCAGCGTCGCTCCTGTCCCGGGAGCCCCTCGGCCACAGCGGGGTCTGGCTCTTCCCAGAGCGCACCAATGGCTGGAGATAGGCATCTCCCCAAGTTGGTCGCCCCAGCGCCCTAGGTTCCACAGGCCGACCCTGAGTCCGAACTCTACCCCACCCCCGCCAGCTGCCTCACTTTCCATAAACTGAGAAGGGCCTTTGAGCCGCAGCTGCCAAAGACCTCTCTTTTGTAGGAGGGATTGTGCTTCATGGTAAACAGAGAAGGAGAGTGCCTCTACCTGGGGCTTATCCATTAGGCTCCCGTTACTCTACTCTCCAGGGTATGATTCCATCTACAAAGCCCAGATGCACAAAGAACTTGGCCTGTGCCGCATCTTAGCAGTTGTGGCTTCTGACTTCACAGCTGAAGAGTAGACCAGGTTCTGGATCGGGGGAGCAGAGGGGGGTGGGGTGGCCAGCAGTGAGCAGCTGGATGAGTATGAATTTCCCTCGAAGAACTGCTTTATCTGGTCATGTGCCTGTGCCCCTGCCGTTACTAGAAGGGAGAGGGAGACTCAGGCATCTGGTTCCAGAAGCCACCTACATTCAAGCGCTTACCAACCACCCACTGTGTTCACGACAGTGAGTGTCTGACTCATGCAATCAAAAACAAACCCAGAGGTTCTAGAAAGAGACTTAGAGTTACCAAGTAAACCATGATCAGAGCTCTGGCTATCTATGGTTGAGAAGACCCGGAACAGAAGTCACCTCTGGACCAGAACTGCTGCAGTTATTGAGGCCATGATGGGTCCATGACAGGTTGGTCCACGTCTTCAGCTTTTTTTCCTGCCTCCTCTTCACCTCCACTCATCCATGCACCTCGGGCCTTTGGCAGTTCCAGAGGCAATAAGGCATTTCCATGGTGTTGCCCAAATCTCCCAAACAAGCTAGGGAGCTCTAGTAGGCCACATATCTTCCTCTAGGTCAGTTCAAACAGACCTGGGGTGTTTTGGACCTGCCCTAGAGCTGTTCTGTGTGGCCCAGATTGCCTCAGGGCAAGTTCACTTTTAGGGAATTTTCCTGGACACACCTCTCTCCTTCCTGTACACATCCCCCTGTAAGCCTGACTCATTTATTTCCACCGACCTGGCCCTGTAGGTGCCTAACCTGCAGCCTGGCTTTCTTCTGAGCCATCTCCAGCATATGTATTCCTTATTGGTTATCTCACAGTTCTGTCTGAAACCCAGAACATGACAAAGTACACACTTGGGAGCTGGCTCAGATTTGGGTGCTGCCAAAATGGTGCCCAGGGTAAAGGTGCTACCAAGCCTGAGGACTTGAGTGCAGTCTCGAGGGTCCACATGATGAGGAGAGAATCAGCTCCCACAAGACATCCACTGACCTCCATGTGTCCCTCCTCCTCACAGAGATAGATGACATGCCATTTTCTTGTTTGGTTGGTTTATTTTTTAAGACAAGGTTTCTCTTTGTAGTCCTGTCCCTGTAGACTAGGCTAGCCTTGAATTCAGAGATCCACATGCCTCTGCCTCTTCCTATTGGGATTAAAGGGGTGTCCCACCATGTCTGACCATATACATGTAAATTTTTTAATTACAGAGCTGAGAACAGTGTCCAGCACATTCAGGGAAATACGCTCTCAGGATGCCGCCTTCCATCTGCCATCTGTATGTAAGCGTGTTGCTTTAAGGGTATCTACAGGACTCTGGCAAAAGGAACAACGTCTTCAGCAGATTTTTCTCATGTTCAGTGGCAAACGAGGACGGTGTCTTCACTGGGTTTCTAAAGTCTGTGATTCAGTGCCCAGCATGGTTGGCAGTGCCTTTGGCCTCCGAGGAATGATGGAGTCTGGGAGGTAGCCACAGTGGAACAGGCCTCAAAAACTCCCGCCTTCCCGCCCTTCAGAACCCCTGGAGTTTCAGGCTGTGGTTTCCTTGCTCAGGCGTCAGGGCCTGGGGAGCTGCCAGCTGCCTTTCAACCCTCCCGCCTTGCCAGCGGCAGGATTGTGCAAGAGCAGTCCCATCCCCCGTGTGCCCCCCCTCCCGCCATGGCTGCTCTCTCTAGCAGGCCTGGACTTGCCTGCCCTCACTGTCCTCCCTGGGGAGCTGGGCTCGAGGCCCTGGTACTCACACAGGTCTGGCACCCTGGGAGGCTCCTACCAGCAGGGAGAGGGTAGGGAATGTCTTTTGACATTGGAGGCCAAAGCCTGCAGAGCCTGGGTGCTGGCGGGAGCCAAGTGAGGTAAGGAAGCTGGAGGAGGTGAGTGTGCAGAGGCAGCAGCCATAACCCCTAGGTTCAAGAGCGCTGTCCTGCCAGACTTCTGTACACGTGCCCCCCCTGCAGAGACTCCAGGAATCTTGTGTCTGCTGTGCCTTTTCCTGGCCACCTTCCCTGAATCCCAGCGCCTGGTGTACCTATTTGCATAGCTGAGCTTGTGGGTGTTTTTTGCTTAAGCTCTGGTTACACTGGTGAGTGAGTGGGCCCAGCCTCACCTCAGGATGGCACAGGAAGATGCTGGCTGCAGGAGCCCATGAGCTGGCACACACCTGGGTAACCACCTTCGAAGGCCTCTGAGCTGCTGCAACTGGCAAAGAAGTAGGGTCCCTATGAGACCTTGAATTCAGCAGAGACTCTCCACACTTCTGCCTTCCTGCTACACCATCCAACTTGGGGCCAGCTGAGGTCACACAGAAGAGCGAGGGCCATGGAGATGAGATGCTTCCACACCAGCAAGGTCCTCTGAGCAGGGCCCAGCATGGAGATGTCCCTCAGGCTGTTCTGCAGAACAGTTAGACCTTCCAGGCATGTTCTGTGATTTTCACAGGGAGAAAGAGTCAGGTAAATGTCTCTATAGGAATATCTCAAAACCAGACAGGGCCTCACCGAGCTTAAACCTGGCCAGGGAGGGCAAGGCCTGGTGCGTGCCTTTTTATAGAAGTGTGTGCACCATGCATGAGAAGTCCAAGGTAAGAGCTGTCCCTCACACCTGAACCAGGTTGCCCTGCCATCCCTCAGCTACTTCACGCTCTCTCGGGCCCTGAAATGTGACCATTTACTGGCTCCTTGTGTCAGCTTTCACTTTGGTTGTGGTACTCTCCGTTAAAGTGATGTATAAGGTTACCTCAAGAACACTGACAGATGCTTCCCATACACACATCTTCTGGAAAATTCTCATAATCCACACTTCGTTAAGCAGCAGAATAGGGAGAGAACAGCATGGGATCCCGGCTCTGGCTGACTCCTCACAGAACCCCACTGTTCTGAGGCACAAAATTTTTTGGCCAAGACATATTTTTAAGATCCCCAAAGTAGGGCTGGAGAGATGGCTCAGAGGTTAAGAGCACTGCTTGCCCTTCCAAAGGTCCTGAGTTCAATTCCCAGCAACCACATGGTGGCTCACAACCATCTGTAATGAGATCTGGCACCCTCTTCTGGCCTGCAGGGATATGTGCAGACAGAACACTGTATACATAATAAATAAATCTTTTAAAAAAAAAAAAAAAAAAAAAGATCCCCAAAGTATTAAAAATCAACCTTCTTGTTTAAAATTTTCAGGATGAGCTGGGCATGGTGGTACACACCTTTAACTCAGCACTCAGGGGACAGAGGCAGGAGGATCTCTGAATTTGAGGCCAGCCTGGTCTACATAACAAGTTGCAGGCTATCCAGAAATACATAGTGAGACCCTGTCTCAAAAAAAAAATTATATTTTCAGAGTCATAAGGTATGCTCCAGAATGTTTTTCAGAATGCTCAAAAAAAGTGAGTCTGGGGACTGAAGAAACGACTCAGCGGTTAGGATCACTGGCTGCTCTGGACATGGGCGCACACTCGGGAGGCAGAGGCAGGTGGATCTCTGAGTTCAAGTCCCGCCTGGTCTACAGAGAGATTTCCAGAACAGCCAGAGCCACAAAGAGAAAATCTATCTCAAAAAATAAAAAAAAATTATAAGAGCACTGGCTGCTCTTTCAGAGGACCAGGGTTTGAGTCCCAGCACCTACACGGCACCTTACAACCATCTGTAACTCCAGTCCCAGGAGATCTGACACCGTCTTCTGGCTTCCAACTTCCTTGGGCACCAGGCATGCATATGGTACCCATATACATGTAGGCAAAATACCCATACACATCAAAATAAATAAAAATTATTTAAAAAAAAAAAGACTAAGTCTGGGTTAGGGGACATCTGTGAAAGAAGTAAATGTGTTCTGAAAACCTACATAGTAAGTCCCGGGCCAGCCAGGGCTACACAGTGAGACCCTGTCTTTAAAAAGGAAAAAAATGAAGCCGAGCAATGGTGGCGCACGCCTGTAATCCCAGCACTCGGGAGGCAGAGTCAGACAGATCTCTGTGAGTTCGAGGCCAGCCTGGTCTACAGAGCAAGATCCAGGACAAGCACCAAAACTACACAGCGAAACCCTGTCTCGGAAAAAAAACAAAAAAATAAATAGGAAAAAAATGGGCTGGGCAGTGGTGGTGTGTGCCTTTGATACCAGCACTCAGGAGGCAGATCTCTGTGCGTTCGAGGTCAGCCTGGTCTACAGAGTGAGTTCCAGGACAGCCAGGGCTGTTACACAAAGAAACTCTGTCTGAAAAAAACAGAAAAAAAAAAAAAAGGGAGGGTTGTGGAGGAGGGAAAAATGTTAGAAGAAAAAGGGGCTGAGGAAATATCTCTGGGTAAAATACCTGCTGTGCAGACAGGGACAGGTAGATCCCTTGGGCTCACTGCCAGCCAGCCTGGCCTAATCAGTGAATTCCAAATTCAGTGAAAGATCCTGTCTCACAAATGAAATGGAAAGTTATAAGAGAAGATACCAGGGTCAACTTCCGGCCTCCAAGCATACACATTCACACGTCTATAAATACACACAAACATCACAGAGAGAGATGGCTGGGGCCATCGTCTCAGAACCCTAGTTTAGGTTACTTAATGCTTTTCAGCTCTTTGGAAAAGTCACCTGGCCAAAGTCCTCAGGGTTCTCCCAGCCCAGCCTCAGCCTCCTCCGTGTGCCTCCATTCTGGGCCAGCAGGGGGACTGGAGGACTCATTTCCAGGCTTGGTTGACCAAGATTCCAAGCAGCTCTCTGCCCTTCGCCACCTGGTCCCCCACTGAATGAAAGGGGATTCCTGGCACCAACAGCCACTTAAGCAGCCTGTAGGCACAGTGCGCTGGGCACAGACAGAGGATGGGTCTGTTTGTGCTTCCACCTGGTGTGATACTGTGTCCCATGCTGCAGGTAAGTTTCATCAAGAAATGATCATTGCATGGGCGGGGGGGGGGGGGGGTGGGGGGGTGGGGGGGGGGGCGCGCTCCCGTGGGTACAGGCTTGTTGCGTAAACCCAAGGACCAGAGTTAGATTTCCAACATCCATGTAAATGTTGGTGGGGGTGGCTGCCTGCCTGAAGGCCCGGCTCTGCAGAGGTAGAAACGGGATGGCCGCCCAAACCCAAACTCCTAGCTAGACCAGCAAGAGACCCTGCCTCATAAAGTGGAGAGTGATTGATGAAGATACCTGATATCAACCTCTGGCCTCCACACATGTGCACATGTGTACACTTATACACCTGTGGACACATCCCAAAAAAATAAAAGGAAATGATTATTCAGACTGAAGATGTAACTCGATGGTAAGAACATCTCTCTAGCATGCATAAAGCCCTGGGTCCAATACCTAGGACCGTCCTCAGCACAAAAAGTTCTAGCCTAGCAAGTAGCTCATGCCTATATTTCTAGCACCAGGCTACAGCAGAGGAGGGGAGTGAAGAGGGGGGATTACCAATGTTCCTATGCCAGCACCAGCTGCAAAGTGAATTCCAGAATTCCAGGACAGCCTGGGCTATAGGATGGGACTGTCTCAAAAAAAAAAAAAAAAGGATGGGGGGGTAGTTGGAGGAGAAAAAAATAAACTTTCCAAGTGCTCTGAACAGAAGGGAATTAGGTGGGCTTGATGTTCCACTAAAACCCCTTCCCAGGGTGCTGAGACCTCTGTTATGGAGCAGTGTAAAAAAAGAGAAAACCATAAAGAGGGGGGGGAAATGTGGCCTTTGAGATGGCTTAGCAGGTAAGTTCCATGCCACCAAACCAGACAAGGTAAGTCTGGTCCCTGGGACCATGCCGTAGAAGGAGAGAACCGATGCACTCCAAGTGTCCTCTGATGGCGCATGCACTGTTTGAATGAGATAAAAGGGGAAATGACTAAAATCCTATGATTCTACAGTCAGGGTGCGTGGGAAAGAGTTTCTGGGTAGAGAAAGGGGCCTAATAAGTGTGGTGGCACACCGTCTGTAATCCCAGCACTGTGGAGACAGAAGAAGGAGGGTCACCACAGGTTCAAAGCCAGCCTGGGCTACAGAGCAAGGAGGGAGTGGGAGGAGAGAGGAAGAGCTGGGAGGGAAGGACAAGCCTGGTGCCCGGATTGCGGCTCACCACGTCCCTCACACTGTCTTCTAAATGACTGGGACTGTGGCTGACACCAGCTCTGAAATCACAGGAGACCAGAGCAGACCTGACTGGCCAGGAGTACTTCCTGGCACACGCGCAAAAAGCTTAACCAAACCTGAAGGCAGGGCAGTGTGAGGGGAGTGAACAAGAGGGGCCAGCAGCCCAGGGGACATCCAAGTGTCTTCCCACGGTGCCACAGGGTCTAGCTCCGTCCTATCGAAGGCATGGAAAACGGGTCGACAGTAGAGAGGAGGGCGCTTGCCCCTGATCCTTGGTAGCGATACCTGGGGCAAGCATCCAGCTGAACTCCGGACACATCACAAACTTTTTTTCCTTTTTAAATTAAAGGTCCAGTCCCCTCTCCAGGGAGCGGGTTTTGAAATCAAGAGGTTACTGGGGGTAGGTGATGGGTTACTCCCAGCTCTCCATTGAGTTATTTGTGAGTGAGTGTGAGTGTGTGTATGTGTGTGTGTGTGTGTGTGTGTGTGTGAGAGAGAGAGAGAGAGAGAGAGAGAGAGAGAGAGAGAGAGAGAGAGAGAGAGAGAGAGAGAAAATGAAAATAGAAGTCAGAGAACATTTTCAATTCTCTCCCACGGTGTGGGTCCCAGGTAGCAAACTCAGTTTGGCAACAGATACCCTTACCCTCCTGCTGAGTCATCTCTTCAGACATAGACACATTTATTCTTTTCAATTTTTGTCTTAGGAGAGGGAAACTAAGGCACAGGCATTGCTCAAAGCCTTCTTTCTAGTCAGTAAATGGCAGAGCTGGGATTTGAACCCTTGGTAGCCTGGCTCCAGAGTCCCAAGTTACCTGGAGATGCAAACACAGCCCTCAACCCTCCCAGCAAGGGAGTTCCCCCTCTATCATAAGCAATCCTGCCAACGTCGAGGAAGTGCCCTCATTCCTGCTCCCTCTGCCTACTAAAGATGGAATCTCCTGGTTTTGTCCATTGGCAAGAAGTTTTGTTCTCACAAACCAAAGCCTTGCCCCCAGCAGATACTCCTCAGAAGATGCGGAATAGGCTGGCTTCCCAGATAGGTGCTTTCCACCTGACCCAGAAGATTCTTGTAGAGGAACCGAGTGATATACAAAGTAAGGGCACTTTGTTATTGTCGCCAAAATCGTACCAGAAACCGTCTACTATCCAGGAATGCTGGCATATGCATATAATCTCATCACTCAGGAGATAGATATCATAGGATCGCAAGTTCAAAGCTAGCCTAGGCTATAAAGCCAGTGATAGGCTAGCCTGGACTATCACATCCTGTCTCAAAAAGGAAAGAGAAGAAAAAAGGAAGCTTACTGAGAAAGAAATGTGCACGGGATGGTCCCTTGGGACATTCATGGCTTCAGGAAACAGTGGGTGACATCTAGCACAAGTTCTCCAAGCTAGCTGAAGTTGTTCACGGTACAACATTGGCTCTGTGAGTTCAAGGCCATTTTGATCTACGCAGTGAGCTCCAGGACAGCCAGGAGTATGTAGAGAGGCCCTGTCTCAAAACAAAGAAACCAAAGTCTGAGCTACACTGAAGCCCAGTCCCTTCTCTTTTTCTTCACAGACCCTCTGGGTCTTACGATCAGTTCATTGCATTTCAGTGTCCTGTGCCAGAAAAACCCAGCCTTGAAGCCTTTCAAGGCCCTGGAACATCCCAAGATTGGCTGGTCTTACACACACACACACACACACACACACACACACACACACACACACACACACACGTCCTATGTGGTCTTCAAAACAAAACACCTCTCCAGGGATTTTCTCTCCATTGTCCTTTAAGCCTTTTTATAAATTTTAGAGTCTAACCTAAGTTAATGAAAGTGGTCATTAACCAAACTGGAGCCCTTTATACCCAAGCAGTTTCTCACAGGTTATAACGTTCTGGCTTTGCACCAGTCTGGAGAGGTATCCCCATTTCAGGGAAGAGAAAATGTGACTGTCCGAGGGCACTGGAGGGGTGAAGATGGGTCATCCCAGGCCCTTCAGCCACCCAGCACCCAAAACTGGCTGTCCCATCCTCAGGACCCTTCCTAACATCCCCCTGCCTGAGTGCAGATGGTACTTGTA